GCTGTTCAACGTGACTTTTAGATCCTGCATCGCATAAGGTGCTGTTCAACGTGACATTTAGATCCTGTATCGCATAAGGTGCTGTTCAAACGTGACTTTTAGATCCTGCATCGCATAAGGTACCGTTCAAGTTGAACGTAATAAATATATATTAAAGTCAAAGTTATTTTGTTGGTAAGTTGGTCCGAAGATATCATCTTTACAACTTTCCCTGTAGCTTTGTTAAACTCTTGTAAAAAAGTGGAATAACTTGAACAAGAGTTTGATTCTGTGTTTGAATTCCACTCGTGGGTTAAAGCAAAAAACATCAACAACAACGTTTTATTTAAAGCAGTAGGTTAGATACACGTTAATGGTGTTTCGACATAGTTTTCTTACTGCTGGATGTCTTATTGTTCTGCAGGGGTTCGGGAAATAGGACCAATATTTCTACATTTAATTTACTCCTCCTTTCACTTACCCGGATTTTTTGAAATATTTGTTATTGAAACTAAAGGTTAATATTAAAAGACGATATTTTTTGAAACAAGTCCTACCATAGAGAATGGGCTAAAACAGTAGACAGATGAAACCTTCTATTTTTGTTCGCCAGAAAATGGCGAGGATCACACAGTAAACTGGTAGACATGTAACAATGCCCTGTTAAGCGTACTGAGAAATGTATTATAGTGTCTTTGCTGCCTGTCCTCTGAAATGATGCATTGTATAAAGGAGAACCTAGCAAAGAAAAAATGTGTATGAAAACTTCTTGTTACTGAATTCAAATTGTAGCCACTCCCGAAGTTAACATGGACATGTACGTAAAGAAAAAAAGTGCCTGTTATGACTAATGGCCGTTGTTCTGTCGTGATGAAACGAGGTTATTAAAAGAACTATCTAATTAAAATTGACATAAGGCCTTTGATAATTACACCCCGCTAACTGATTGATGATTGCTGTTTGACGCTTATGCCATAAAATAAATTATATTATCTAAGCACCCATTAATAAGTCATTAATTAACATCGAGTTATAATGCTTTGATTTTGACCTAAACGCAGTTTTTTCTTCTTCTCTTGTTATCCTAGTGGTATTTTTGAAAACTAGTTAGGAGAAGTTCGTAATTCGATTTTCTTTGTAGCGAATTGTTTTAAAAAAGTAAAACAAAAAGTTTCAACTATGTTTAATCACTGTGAAAATATCAAAACTATTACTGTTTGAAAAGTCTGTGGGGAAACGAGAATTTCTGTTTCACAATAAGCATTGAACATAAAGTTACAAAAGTGTAGTACATTACATAATGTGTTAAAATGTTGGAGTGTATCTCTGATGACGTGGTGAAGCAACTGCTCCGATGGATCTTTACACTATTAGAGTGCTGTGCATTAAAAGAACACGATTCTGTTAACTATTAATTGCTAAGGGAATACAGTGGTGTAGAAATGGAAGCTATTTGTTTAGAACTCTCTTCAGAGGGAGCTAGCAGCTATGTTGTAGAGTTGTTTTTGTCACTCTAGATGGATATGAATATAGTGAGAATTCTTCATTTTCAATGAACCGTGGTGTTGCTGCAGACACAACAAACTAGGATGTTCATTAATAGCTTGAAATAATTTATTGATCTCTAATTATTTTGTTTTTATATACAATTGATCCAAATCCGCTCCTACTGTCATTACATATTTCATATGGAGTCAAAATTTCTCAGTGGTTCCATAAGACATAGACGTTCTTATAATCGTGACCCCACTCAGATATGTCTGAGCACAATGTTGATTATTTTAAACACCTCCAGTGACTTGGTAAGTCTTTCGGCTTATAATGCTAAAAACCGCGTTTTGATAGTCGTGGTTGGCACAGCACTTGCATAAGTTTGTAATTAACAAACAAAAATGTCAATTATTATTTTATTTTCAAGTGTTTAAGCGTCTTCTGTATTGATTGATGGTTATCAAAGTGATAGAGTCATCATTGTACATTTTATATTTCAACTGAATCCACAGCTAACACTGCTTCTAAAGTTTTTCATTCTGTTGATAAGAGTTAAAGATTTATTCCGAGCTAACTCCATATATTATTATTTTATGTTATTAATAGAGGTGGCATTGATTTGAGTTACAATTACAAAAATGCTTTTATCCATCACTAAGACTAAGATTAATGACGGTAATTGCATGAGAAATGGCAGAAAATTTATACAGAGTTAAAGCTGAATCTTCGAATTTAATTGAGTTGGAAGAAAGAGACTGGACACAATGTTAAAAACGAGGCCAAAATAATATTTGTTCAAGATAATGCAAGACAAATCTAAGGAGTGAAAAAAAACAACTCTAGGTAGCGCTGCTCTTAAACTGTCAAGATATCTTACCAGAAGGAATTCTGAAAGAGCTGACCACTATATGAAGAGAACACAATAGTGCCATTTCTTCGAGGGCGCTTGCGCTATCCATATCACATGTCAAATAGATAGGACATATCCTCCAAGTATCGTTAGGTTTTAACACATATGATTTGCCAAGCAAAACTGCATCATATTAATTTACATAGTTCTCCATTGACATCTTCCCGCTCCAAGGTTTAGTTCAGCAACACCAAAAGCGAAACATTCAAGATAACGTGTAACAAGAACACTAGCAAGTTAGTCACATTCCAGAACTAGTCTTATTATATGTTTAGTTTATGAGTGTGCACGCCCAAATACAAGTTCATATTTTGTTTTGAAATTTTCACAATGTTTGTTTGAAGTTAAGCACAAAGGTACACAATGGGCTATCTGTGCTCTGCCCACCACGGGTATCGAAACCCGGTTTCTATCGTTGTAAGTCCGCAGACATACCGCTGTACCAGTGGGAGGCTTTTCACAATGATTCTGATCTTAATGAAATCTAAATTCGTATATGGTTGGACTGCTTCAAACCTAACAATGTTTCACATCTGGTTTATGACTGTGAGATTTATCTAGACGTAAAAACGTTTCACATCTGGTTTATAATTGTGAGATTTATCTAGACCTAAGAACGTTTCACATCTGGTTTATAATTGTGAAATTTATCTAGACTTAACAATGTTTTTACTATTTTTGGGGGTTTATTCGGTACTCATGCTATATATATATATGTTTTTTTCTGTTTTACATCTAGTTTTATTAGCGTGAAATGGACCCAGTAGTAACGCTATATATTTTTTTGTTTGACATCTAGTTTATTAGCGTGAAATGGACCCAGTAGTAACGCTATATATTTTTTGTTTGACCTCTAGTTTATTAGCGTGAAATGGACCCAGTAGTAATATTATTTTTCTCTGTTTTATATCTAGTTTATTAGAGTGGAAGGAGACTCAGTAGTAACACTTTTGTACTTCCTGTTCAATTTATAAGTGTGGGATTGATTCAGTGTTTAACGCTATGTTTCTACCATATCATATCACGTTTATGTGTACTAAGGGTTGGATAGTTTCAGTGTAAACAGTGTTATTTATCATATATTGTTTGATAACTCTAGACTTATACATCATATACATTTGTTTAAAAATCGTGAACAGGATTTGTCATATGCTGTTGATACTGTGACGCAAATGGGATTAATTTAGATCTTCTAATATGACACATCCTATTAAAAAATGGGACAGGAATTGAAATCTTTCAATATATCTCATCGTGGGGATAATTCTATACTTAATTCAGACTATCTAAAGTATTTCATACCTGGTGATACACAAAGGTTTGAGATAATCTTCCTAACACGGAATGTGGGATGGATTCAAAATTTCAATGTTCCTTATTCTGTTGATATGTGTAGGATTAGTCTATACTTTCAAATGCAAGCAAGCCTATTAATAAGTTTTGAATTAATTCAGATCTTCTAAAGTGACCGCATTCTGTTGAGATGCGTGGATTTTATTCATCTATTAGGTCTGGATTAATAATAGGTGCGATATAAGATTAATAACTCATCTTGTTCATACGTATGGAATTGATTCAGTTAGTAGATCTAACTTCATGATATATCCTGCTGATTAGTGTGAGAATGATACAATCATGTTACTGTAGGTTAGCGTGTCGGACTGTTTATACAAAAACCGTATTTTGCGTCCTGTTACCGCTGACCCCCCCAAAAATAAT